ACAGACAAGCAAGCGTAGCACGCATACTCTTTGCAGGATTTTTTGGAATCTTTTCTACATCTATAAACAAAATTCTTTTAGACGCACAAATAAAAGAATATAACACAAAAATAGCAACACGACAAAATACATACGACGAAGAACATAACAATGTAGACATAACGCCAACGGCACCACAATTACCACCCCTACCAAATAACCATCCACTATCCCTAGTCCCACGAAATTTTCGAAATTTAGCCATCACACATAATCCAAATTTTCGACTCACCACATCACAAAGTCCCATCCAACATATAATGACACACCAGTCACAAGATCATAATACTTATGAACAAATTATTGAACAACCCCATACCACCGCTTTTCAGTCTCAAAATAATCATTTTTTTAGCCCACGATGAGCCGCCAACTTGGATCACTACACCGATCAAATTCCCACCCAACCAATCTTACCTCTCCAATCCCAATAATACCACTTTTTGCTTTTCCGCCACCCGATTTTCCATCTAGTAATGTAACATCAGGCATGAATTCCGACACTAATTCACACATCTCAGTTTTATATTCTATCTCACAACTCAATAACCCGAATATTGAAACCCCCGATGAATTTGCCGAATCAGAACCATCCCCATCCAATAATTTTCATAACTCTTCTAATTTTTCTCAACCCCCTTTTCAACCCATATTATCCAATAACCCTGACCCAATCACTTCCACACCCTCTTATGCTTCCCAAGTTACCCCAACCTACTCCTCACTTCATTCTGACCAATCATCTCATTCTCCAGACACCCCCCGAATCTCCCCAGAGCTAGATAATTTTATTACCCTTCAACAACAACCCTACCACCTCCATACCCCAACAATAAACCAAATCTCCTCCACAATAAATTCATCCAACCCCCCTACCCCTACACCCTCTTCAAATTATACTGAATCATTAGCACCATCATCCACATCAACTGAATCTTCACTCAACACTAATAGAGCTTACCGCACTTTTAAAAGAAAGTTCCCCAACCATCCTTTCCCAACAAAACCAGGAACAGCCCGTGAATACATCAACCACCCCAAGCATACTAACACAAAAGAATTTTTAGCCATCACCTTACCCTCATTCCCACAATACACCTTAAACACCCCCCACGACACTAACGAAACACGCAACTTTGTAGATGAATACGTTTTAATGCCCACTCTCTCTTGGACCTCATATTATCATTTTACTAACCCTCTTTGCTTACCTTTATCTAACACTCACATCGATATAGAGCGAAATACGGACATGCTATATCGACTCACTACACCACTAACCGCTAGACAATTTACTTACGTTGGATATAAAAAATCACTAAAAACACACACTGCACCTAGAGCTAACGAAAATACACTCGAATACTATGATCACAACATCATCAGAGCTAACCAAGATCAATTTTTAGACGACGATCGCTTCGCTAATCCACAAATTACCGAGAAATTTTTCATCAAGACACCATATATATTTACACTAAACATCTTCGACCGAAAGTTTGATCACATTATTTCAGAAGCACTAACAGACACACAAGCATACGAAAGTTTTAAAGAACGCTTCCAAATATTTTCACTAACCTTTCATTTCCTTGCACCACACGAAAGAGATTTACACTGCTCACACGATATTATGTTGCGCACTAAACAAACCCACACATATAGTTATTATCGCTTCATCCAAAATCACTTTGATCTACACACACCCTCTAGACAACCACACCATCGTTTTCAATTCATTAATTCCAAATACACTTCACCATTTTTCCTAAATTTCACATATTGCATTAAAGATACTAACCTTCATGGTATTCTTCGCAATTATGATCCCATAACCCAAATGTACATCTTCTGTCCCATCACCAAGACCTTCAACGCCGAAGAATCCCGACCCTTCCTTATCCCGCACGAGTTTGTACAACCTATAGAAATCCCAATTTTAGAACTCATCCACAACACTAAATTCAATCACAAATTATATAATCTAATCCAAAACACACCTTATGAGTTTGCAGTTGGCACTGAAGAACTAACCACTATCAAGGCACTTCAATTGCTTTGGCCACTGCTTCAGACTAAAAATATCATCCGCATCTTAGCTAAACTACTAACAACTTCCGATCTCATCCACGACATCTTCCCCCACGGTTTTTTCCCCGACGACTAACAGGTAAGTATAAATTAAATAAATATTACTAACTAATTAAAATATTAAAAAACTCACCATACTTTATCCATGTTTTCTTTAGGTTTTTAGCCTTCATCCGACAATCACCTACAAAAACCACAAAAGACAAATAAAAATCGCAAATTTCATCAAACAGATTTCAAAAATTCTATTAATCTCTTACACTTATAAATTTATAAATTTAATACCAATGCAGTAAATTCATTTCTAAAATTTTCCCCACAAGCAGTAAATCTAATTATGATGAAAATTTGTAACTTAAAATTCCCCCATAACTAGCAGTATTTCCAAATTCTATGCAGTAAATTAATAAAATGCAAATGCAGTACTAACCTTTTGATATTTTCATTCATTCGCACAGAAATTCTATCCACACTCGCACAGCTCGCCCACGAAGAATTGTTTAAAATAATGAATTTCAGTTTCAAGTTTTCACACTCAACAACTCTAACATATAATAACATGTTTCAAACCTTCCTTTAACCCGGTTGGAAAGGAATCATATACTAAACAAAACTAACCAACGCAGCTTACTAAATACCACAAATCAAAGAATAACAGCATGACTAAGAAAAGGAAACCAACGGTACCCAAACCGGATTAACCCAGTTTAAAACTGGATAATTTATTCTTTTGAAGACTATTATAAAGTCTAAAAAAGAAATAATAAAACACAAAAAAGTCGAAAGACAAACCCATACCACGAACAATTTGCTTTTTGGAAAAAGGACATAACCAACAAGACATAAGAAAAACCACAACAAACCCAACATAAAACGTTGTCACATAACAGGACCCTCATAAAAACCGCATGAAATCATACTCCCACTCCTGGCCTAACCCACCAGGAAGGACGTCCTGAGCATGCTCTATAGCCGGCCTAACCCACCGCGCTACATCCACGCTTTGTGACCACACCTCTATTTTTAATAAGAGCTACTCAAGGGTGAGTAACTCTTCAAAATAACCGAACTAAAACAAAAAGCTTTTGTGAAAACAACTAACTAAAATCATAATTAAAAAATATTAAACTAATAAATGTTTTATAAAATGTAAATTACATTATGCAATACATAGATCAGAATACAACACCAAGGACGAACATCTAAAGACAAAACGACCCCACTACACTCGAGAGAGAATGACCAACCACAATCGATATGCCACTCACAATCACAACTCAAAGGATTTAGAGTACGACTTGACTTCGCAGAAAAGGACTTCATTGAACTAGACCAATGACCACCTCGATGTTCAAGTATACGTACAGATCCGAGTAACCAGGCATCCCCTTCACGCACAATCTCCACGCCATTCCCAAACTAGATCAGACACAAAAGAAGTTCTCCACGCAGAACAGAAAAACCTGACATAGCCAACCATTCTGAAATCAGATTTGAGTTTGTTGCAAAGACTTAGTCGTTGTCACTAGAAGACACAACGTCTTATGTCTCTAACTCCAGCTTCCTGGAACTTCTTTAACAAAGAGGAAACGGAAGAAAATGATGTTCGCCAAAAACCAACGTCCATCATCCATCCTTCAAATTGCAGAAGAACTATTCTAAAAAACTCTGTAAAACCCGGATGGGTGGAACCTGATCTAAACTACATTTTATGATTGGATAAATTAGATATTTTACCAATGTAAAGTATTTAATATTAACCAATCATGATCCATCTAACTAACAACCCACTTATTTGTAAGTGCTGAAGTTACTTGTAATTTCAGCACCAGAGAGATTTGAATTTAACTTAGAAATTAGTTGGACTCTCCCGAGCACTTCAGCAGCCGCAATAAACCAGTATACCCTAGATCTATTGAGCCTAGCAGAGACTAGTTAAACAACCTGAGACTAGATAGTATAAGAGTAAGATTAGGATCGGTATTAGACTAAGAAGTTGCACGAATCTATCCGGCCGAAAATAAGATAGCGTGACGAGCAGACGGTGTACCCTATCCGAAATTACTCTATGAGTTATACACTCCAGTCCTAACTCACAAACTGAAACACAATCCCAAAAAGATATTTTGCCCTGAAACTCGTCATAAAAAATTTCAAGAAATTTAAAAGTTTTTACGACCCATCCAAACTGAAACACAATCCCAAAAAGATATTTTGCCCTCGAAATTACACAAAATAAGTTGACTAAGTCGATATACCATCAGCTGAAACTGTTTGAATATTTAAAAAAATGAAAAAAAAACTCAAAATCAGCCGGCAAAATTGCAAATTTGTGACGTTTCATTATAGAAAAAAATGTTTAAATTAAATCAAAACCTATGCTTTAAAAAGTAAGCCAATTAAAACCCTATCGGATAAAAAATGGCGTTTAAAAAACGGAAATTGAACCGACAGCAACTAGGCCGAACACCACGAACCCGAAAAAAAAATAGACATTTTTTTGAAAAGATAATTACAACCTGAAACTTGAAAAGATAATTACAATCTGCGATTACAACCCTTGAAAAGATAATTACAACCTGAAACCAGAAGATCCTCTACAAGAGGAGATTCTCCTCTAGAAGTGTGGACATAGTTGTTTACGGGAAAAAAATCTAGTACCCGATTGCAATACCCTTGCTTATCGCAAGGGTAATAAGCGGCAATTAATTTATTCAGTTATATTCCGTTTTTTCTTCGAGTTCAACTTATTTTGAATAAATAAAACATGCATTTTTCCTATTTAAAAATCTATAAACTAAAGCAAAAAATAGGAATAAGCGTAATAAGAAAAAACAGCGTAAAAAGAATATGCGGCGGAGATAACTGACCTGGATGCCCATCGCACATTGACGTTCTCCTGGAACTTGACAGAGTATGTGTAGTCGAACGAGATCTCCTGTTTCGGGGAAATGGGAACCTCCAATACCGGCTCCGAAGGATCACATTTGCCCTGAAAGGAAATGCTATAACCTCACAAACGAAGGAATATTATGAACTCGTGCGCACAGAAAATTGAACAAATCATGCATTTGCAGCGATAACAGAGATTTGGAACAACGTTTTTTCACGTTATACGACAAAGTACAAAAATAAAATTCAAATTGATATAAGATTATAGGCTTATATAGAGACCAGACTTATACGGTAAAAAAAATATGATTATACGGGACCAATAACTCGCAATTCATTCTATTATTGTGAGACTAGAACATCTTTATTGAGTACTGACTTGCAGGGTTGATTGATATAAGGGGCGGTTCGAAGTCTAGCCATATATAATTCTCAGTCCAATCGGAGCTTTCCGGAAAAATCATCGAGCAACAATGGCATACTGCTGTTATTGAGTTAAAATCCAAAACAGCCAACAGAAAGATGGAAAAGAGCCTTGAACGCAGGAAAACAAAAAATAGACTAGTTTTTTGAAAAAGCTTCAACTTTCGAATTTCAAAGAAAAAAAGTATGTTCGTAAAGCTCTTTGAAATTCAAGAACAATAATGATTGACACCTTTTTGAAAAAGTTGACCCAATTATGATCAATAATTAATTTTTTATTTCGCTGGAAAAGCTGAAAATAAAAATCTACTTTCGAAATCGATCAACAAGATAAACAACCAGTCAATCACGTTTTTCGTGACTTTTACACTTTTGCTGTTCGATAGTGGAGTTAGCCTTCCTTTTAACAAAAGAAACAACGTGAACTTAAAACAATCGAAAGCCAAACAAAAATCTTCAAGACCAACATAAGAGTATTCACTAGGTTCACGACTCTAAAAAATACACTTTTGAAACAAAGAGGCGAAGCAGAGCTTCGCGACACTTGCGATGAAAAAAAAAACATTCCACAACATGGTGAATGAAAAAAAGACCTATATCAAAAATATTTCTGAAAAATTATGTTGGCAAGAGTTGAAAAAATACAGCAACAAAAACTTCATATTTGTATTGGACGAAGTTCATAAGGAAGCCTTAATAAATGGAAATCATTTACGGAGCGGCAACAAAGGACAAAAACTTTGGGTCGAAACCTGTTGAGCCGAAAACAAAACTGTTCTCATAAAAAAATTATGAAATAGAAAAATTTTTCCGACCCATCCAAACTGAAACACACAATACCAAACGGATACATTTCGCTCTCGATATTACGCAAATTAAGTTGACTAAGTCGATACAACTTAAACTGTTAAAATTTAAAAAAAAAAACGAAAAAAAAATTAAAAAACTCAAAATCAGACATGGTAAATTTACAAATTGTGTGAAGTTACAGTTATAGTAAATTCTGTTTAAAATGAAATAAAACTCAAATTGAAACACATAATACCAAACGGATACATTTCGCTCTCGATATTACGCAAATTAAGTTGACTAAGTCGATACAACTTAAACTGTTAAATGTTTAAAAAAAAACGAAAAAAAAAATTTAAAAAACTCAAAATCAGACATGGTAAATTTACAAATTTTGTGAAGTTACAATTATAGTAAATTCTGTTTAAAATGAAATAAAACTCAAGCTTTGGAAAAAAAAACAATAAAAACCCTACCAGAAAAAAGGCGTTTAAAAAACGCAAAATGAACGCACAGAAACCAGGAAGAAAACAAGATTTAAAAAATGAGAAATTTTTTGAAAAGATAATTACTACCTGAAACGGGTTTGAACTAATTACTACTTAAGTATCTTCTAGAGGAAGATACTACTTAGGTATTTTCCTCTAGAAGTGATGATAATCTTGAAGTGTAGATCTTGTGGACAAAGTGGTTTACGGGAAAAAAGTCTAGAACCCGATTGCAATACCCTTACTCACCGCAAGGGCAAATATTCAGAGAAAGAAATGAAAAACACATGAGAACAATCTCCTTAAAAAATATTGAATGTTCTCATCTATGGTTTGCACAAGCACGTGAACTAACATTAAAGTAAATACCAAAGCGGAAATAGACCAACAGCGCTTCAGTCGAAAACCAGAAAGCCAAAATATCATCGGTAAACGACAACTTCAAAACTCAATCGTTACTTCTTAGATATAGCATTTCCGATGCATTAAATTGATCGTTCGAAAATAAAGTAAAAGAAAACTTAGTCGAGAACTGAAACGAAGATCACTAAGCCAAAACATTGAAAGCCATAAATAGCAAAAACCAAAATGTAGAGAACTTAAGCAGGTGTTTTACTACGACATGAACTGCGCAGCTCAAAAAAGAACGATATTTCATGACAAAGCAGAAGGCCTAAAAGATTTATTAGAAAAATTGTTTAATGAAAAATCTTGTTTCCGATTACAAGACCTTTTTTCCCTCAAGTTTTGTTGAAAGTTTCTCATATATCAGCCAAAACTAGCTCTAAAAACAGAGGCAAAGATGTACTTCGCATGCACAAGGAAAATATGACCGATAACGCTACTGGGAAAAACTGAATTAGCAAAACTTTGAGTCTACAAAATTTCATCAGTGACGCACGCCAATTATGATTCTGCATAATTGATAAGTGACGCTGGCCAATTAAGACGCATTAGCAGTACCAGTCAATTCGCAAAAAAAATTTTTTACCATAACATGCCTCAATTTATAGAGCGGACGCATTTAATTAGTTAACAAAAAGGTCGTTAAAAACATCTGACCCTGCCCAGGTTCGAACCCTCTTAATTTGTTGCGGGTCTCCTTCCCAACCTATACGCTACAGATCCATGATGCCTTGAAGCTAAAGTTCGATTTGTAATATTATAGTCTGTGTTAAAATCCTTAGCATTGGCTGTACTTAATTGCTGGATCAAAATGAAGACTTTCAAAATGAATACAATTTGTCGCAACAATTGAATCGCAACAACATTTTCGACTTAAATTGAAAAAAAGTTCATAGTATAACACAAGCTATGCTTGTGTTAATATCAAAACTTACACTCATTAGCGAATTAGTTGCACTTTCCACCCTAAACTTCAAAATTTTGGAAAACAAAATAGACGGTTGCCTTTTACGCAATGAAAAATAGGCTTTCTAATGACTTATTAAAAATTGGATAAGACATTTTTTCCGTCCTAGCAAATTAAGTAACCAAATGGTCTGGTAAGCAAATATTTATGTAATATCTTAATATTCTCGTGAGTTGCTTTTATGTACAAAATGATTTTTGGTGAAATGCCAGTTCGAATACACGCTTTTAAATTTGAGAACGCCCGATGGCACGAAAACGATTTCTATTATTTTAAGCAAACTTCGATCTACTTTCTATGTCAAGTCAAACTTTCAGTACCTCAGCATACCTACTTGAGAGAAATATATTTTGGGAAAATTTATCTGAAACTCCCTATACATCACAAGAAATGGTAGAAGAGGTTAACCCTCTTTTTACACCATGAACCTTTTACACCTCTACCTTTTTACCCTGCTAATTAAGCCTCGATCACTACTTTTTAATGACTGTATCGAGAATGTGATATTAACCTTCAACCTTAAATTTAGCTCGGTTAATTTTGTTACACGGGTAATTCTACCCCCGAAAATTTTGAGAATTATCCCTCGATAAGTTAACTTCCAGCTATTGACAACATTTTTGCTATGATTATAAATATAAATATATATATAAATATAAATTGGGGGAAAAGGAAAAAGAGCCGAAATTTCAGGCGATATATATACAGGCGCGGATCTAGGAATTTCTCGAGGGGGGGGGCGGATTTTCAAAAAAAAAATTGATAATTTTGTCGACTATTTTTTTAGGTCGACCAAATTGATTATCTGAGATCTCCCAAACCACTATAAAGACTCTGTTTTGGCAAAAATTTGTGCGCCTCAGGCAAAATTTTGAAAAAAGGCAAAAAAAATAGCGTTTTTAGACACTTTTTGGAAAATTTCGACCCAAAAAATCGCGGCTCTTTTTCCTTTTCCCCCCACCTGCAAATTTTTATATTTGAAGTTACTGTTCACTTTGTCCGATTGTCATGAAAATTGGCATGTAGACTAATTAGGTCATGACAAACATATTTGGTCTCCATAATTAACCTTGTAAGACCGCTACCATAAAATTCATGTTTGAGTGAGGTGGGGGGGGGGGGGGGGGGGGGAGGAAAAAGAGCCAAAATCGCTTTTTTTTCGGCGCGCGCTACACCCTCAAAATTAGTATAGATTGGCGCCAAAGGCGCCTTTAGAAAAATTTTAAGGTCAGTCAGCCAAAAATCAGTTCCCCCATCCCCCCCCCCTCCCCCCCTTAATCCGCTACTGTGTATATGTATGTATCGAATTGGAAATTTTAGCTTATGTAAACGCTTTAGAGACAGATTTGGATGAAGTTTTCATTTTAAAAACATAGGCGCTACGCGCAATACACCGAAGGCATAGAAACTGAAGCAAAAACCAAACAACTTGAACAACTAATAATTGAAGAATAACAGTTCTAGAACAAAAAATGGTACTAATACATGTATACACCAAAATTTTGCTATATCGAGAAAGAGCCTGAAATAACAGTTCTAGAACTAAAAATCGTACTAACACATGTATAGGTCAAATTTTTGATATATCAACGAAGATCATAAAATAACACTTCTAGAACTAAAAATCGTACTAACACATGTATACACCAAAATTTCTCATGAACAAATAACCAAACAAACAGACCCATAATATAAATAAATGAAAATAAATAAATTAAATAAATACACACGCAGAAATAATAAAAGCAAAACTAAATGAAAGAAAGAATAATTAAATAAATAAACAAAACACGTGATAAAAATAAACAAAAATAAATATGTACATACATAAATTATAAATAAATATAAGCAAACTAAACATAATTAAATAAATAGAAGAACAGATAATTAAATAAATAAAGATGAACAAATAAAGAAACAAACATACGCAATCACGTGACATAGCGCGATATAGTCCAGCCCACATGATAATTGATAACTGTGGACGTTATTTGTCGACACTTGACAACAGACAACATTAAAAAAAAACCCGTTACACGATACCATAACACCTTGACTAAAGTCTTCGGTGTAAAAAGAAATTGGTAGGCTTATCTTTTAAACAACGTTAGGAATCTACTCAGCAAATGAAGATTCCGTTCGTTATTTTCAAAGTTTATGAAATTTCGGTTTTTTCCTCCTCCTCCCCTCCTTAACTCCTCCCCCCCCCCCCCCCCCCCCCCACCTGCCAATTTTTACATGAATGTTATGAAAAATTTTACCTACAGACTAGACTATCCAGGCCACGACAAGCATATTTGGTCTTCATACTCAACCTCGTAAAACCATCACTAATATTTCGGCTCTTTTTCCTTTGGGGGAAAAGGAAAAAGAGCCGAAATTTCATAGCAAATCATAGTGAATTACTTTTTGATGATTTACGGGAGAATTTTTTGATATATTCCAAGGACATTTTCCACATATTTTAGACATATTCCAAGGAAAAAGTTACAAAAAATCTCCTATCAGTGTTGTCACAGGGCAAAAGTGGTACTCAGACGCTTAGAGGCAGCTTGAATAACGTAGATATTTGGCTCAAAAAATTATTTGATTACTTATTATGACTCAACATTTGATTCCTACAATAAAATTTTTATTCAACATTTGATTCTTACACCAAAATTATGACTCAACATTTGATTCCTACACAAAAATTATGACTCAACACAAGATTTCAGGTTTTTTACTCCATCAACATTTTTGACAATGAACAATTATTTGAATTTACATAGACAGAAGGACTCTCAATCGACTATATATTATCATCTTGTGTTCTCAGGAACACCTTTAGTCAATAGAACTACTCTTTGGATTTTTCCCTCCAGGCATAGTTTTTATTATCACATTACTTCTGGTAAAGTCAAACACAAATAGCTTTAAATAAATTGGGGAGTTAATTGCTTTTTTTCATAAAAAAGGTATTATGATTAAAAAACATGAGTAAAAAATAGGTGGGTAGAAACACGCGGTGTAAAAACAAACGGAACCACGTAAAAGTAACATGACTGCGACAAACAAAATGGGTGATATGTTACAATAGGTGGCAATCTTGAGACCGATTTGAATAGTGCATGTATTAACTTTGAGAACTATTATGCATAATATAGTCGCTTCATTTTCAATCAATTATACATAACTCAGCCAGATGAAATATTTTTCAAAAACTCAAGTTTTACACTTCTTTTGCTAAAAAATTTGGCTTTGAAATAAATAATAAAAACTGTTTGAAGTATAACAAAAAGCGATCCAGCTATTTAACTTGAACCTGCCACCTATTGTAATACTTCACCCAAAAATGCTGTTGCAATTATCGCTGTAACAGTTCGCAATAAATTTCGAAAATTATAACTTTCAGTCAGTAGCACTCAAAAACTTACCTTTCCTGTAGTTTTCTAATTTTGAAACAAAAAGAATAATTTCACTGATATCCTTTTGCGTTTAAAAAAAAACTATCACATATCCGGAAATCAATTACTATAGGGACAAAACCCTGCGCTTCACGACTCATCAACAATCATTTGAGCCGAAAACTTCCATTCTAGGCCCATCTGTTGACGTATGTCAAAACTGAGGAACTAGCTCATAGGTAGACTTCAAAAATCTTCAATCTTTTTGTTTAAGAGATGGTGCTGCTCTAGCAAAACAAGCATCTAAAATTGAGAAATAGTTACAAAGACCCCTAAATACATGCAATCTCAACTTCGCTCACCTGTGTCTTGACGCTCCTAGGAGTGATTCTGGCCTGGACAAGTCTGACAGCCCCTACCACTGGCTCATCTACAGTGTGGTACTCTATGGTGATGTCCACGTGGTTGAAGATGTAGAAGCTATTCTTGTTGTTCATTCGTGGATCCAGACCACATGACGTCATTTTGAGTCCATTGGAATTGACGTAACATCCAATTGGGAATCCAGGGTAGCAGAACTGTTGTCCATTCTCAACGTCGTAGCACCAGATCACAGGCATATTGTCGATGATCCAGTGGTTCTGGTAACCTAAATACAACATTTCTCTGGCTAGCTTTCTAGCTGATTGGATCAACTTGGTGTCCAAATGGAGTTGTATAAATACAACTTTGGAGTTGTATAAAAATAAGGGATTGTATTTAGCACACATATAAGCGTCAACGTCAAATTAGCAATCTGTCGAAAAATAACTATAAAAAAAACATGTTCTCCACAACTGTTTGAAAAACTCGCCCTGATTGTCAGCACAAGATAATACAAACAATTTTACTTTTGCTTATTTGCTTCATTTGTACCTTTAATGATGGCCTCTTGCAGGAAGTGTAGCTTTCGCGTGGCCGCCTTGTTGGATGTGGGGTAGTTCTTAGAGCACACCTTCACACAGTTGGAGTCGGCAAAATCGAACGAGTAGGCAGACGATCGGATCCGCTCTCCGAACACAATCTGGCCAAGGTTCTCACTCGGTGTCTGCTTATCCTGGAAAAAAAACCGAAAACCATTCGATATACTATTTTTTATTAGCCATTGGTCCTGCTCAATGCAGGACCAACCATAGGGGAGGGTGATGTCATTTATTTCGCCGCAGCCGGTCCCACCTTGAGGAGGCGAATCACACTGGGACCCCTTTAACCATGAACGAAGTGGGTACCGTGTCGAAATGTCTAAGATATTCATGCAGACTCATTTGATCAAAAATCAATCTACCATGGCTCAAGTTTTTTTAACTTCTAGTACCGTATATAGTATAGTGGCTGAAAACTCAAAAAAAAACGAGACATGAAGCACAAAGAATAAGACAACAAAAATATGGCAGCCTCTAATTGAACACCAAAAGCTAAGCCAAATGAAAGGCATGAATAGGATTGTTTACTTTCACATGACGTTAATCAAAATAACTAGCGTGTACCGCACCTCCGGTGCTTCGAATTTTCAACAACTCAAAAAAACTATTCTCTGAGTGTACTCTGACAGCACCCAATTACAGGGTTCGTAATTAAAAATTTTGCGAAGTTTTTTATTCACGTTTTTTAAATAAATTTTAAAATGAACTAAGGAACGTCACATCTGGGAAACTGAAAGCAATTGAGCAGTCACATTTGGACGCAAGATTTGCAACTCCTGAGAGTAACTTCAAACTTTGTAAAGTTTTTCATTCGTTTTTAATTCAAATTTTGAAAAACCATAAAAAAATTTGTGACATTTTTTTAATATCTAAGTTTATAATGAATTAGAATACGTCACATCTGGGAAACTGAAAGCAATTGAGCAGTCGCATTTGGAATCAAGATTTGCAATTCCTGAGAGTAACTTCAAATTTTGTAAAGTTTTCCATTCGTTTTTTTAATTCAAATTTTGAAAAACCATTTAAATTTGTGACATTTTTTATATCTAAGTTTATAATGAATTAAGAAACGTCACATCTATGAAATTGAAAGCAATTGAGCAGTCGCATTTGGACACAAGCTTTGCAATTCCTGAGAGTAACTTCAAATTTTGTAAAGATTTTCATTCGTTTTTTTAATTCAAATTTTGAAAAACCATTAAAATTTGTTACATTTTTTTTATATCTAAGTTTATAATGAATTAAGAAACGTCACATCTGGGAAACCGAAAGCAATTGAGCAGTCGCATTTGGAATCAAGATTTGCAATTCCTGAGAGTAACTTCAAATTTTGTAAAGTTTTCCATTCGTTTTTTTAATTCAAATTTTGAAAAACCATTTAAATTTGTGACATTTTTTATATCTAAGTTTATAATGAATTAAGAAACGTCACATCTATGAAATTGAAAGCAATTGAGCAGTCGCATTTGGACGCAAGCTTTGCAATTCCTTAGAGTAACTTCAAATTTTGTAAAGATTTTCATTCGTTTTTTTAATTCAAATTTTGAAAAACCATTAAAATTTGTTACATTTTTTTTATATCTAAGTTTATAATGAATTAAGAAACGTCACATCTGGGAAACCGAAAGCAATTGAGCAGTCGCATTTGGACGCAAGCTTTGCAATTCCTGAGAGTAACTTCAAATTTTGTAAAGATTTTCATTCGTTTTTTTTTAATTCAAATTTTGAAAAACCATTAAAATTTGTTACATTTTTTTATATCTAAGTTTATAATGAATTAAGAAACGTCACATCTGGGAAACTAAAAGCAATTGAGCAGTCGCATTTGGAAGCAAGATTTGCAACTCCTGAGAGTACTCTTACAGTACCCAACTACAACGTTGGTAACTTCAAATTTTGAGAGACTTCGCCTTAAGTTTTCTAAAAGAGATAGTATGAATTAAGAAACGTCACATCTAGGAACCTGAAAGCAATTGAGCATTGGTATTTGGACGCAAGATTTGCAACTCCTGAGATAACTCTGACAGCCCCCCAACTACAGGTTAGGAATATCAAACTTTGAAGAAAAAAAAACTTAATTTTTATGAATTATTTTTTGAAAAAATCACAAAAAACGTCATATATCTGGAAAACTGCACAATTTTAAGCAGTCCTATTTGGTACCCAGAGAGTACCCTGACAGAGCCTCACTACAGAGATAGTTATTTCAAGTTTTGCAAAAATCGTCTTATCTCGTTCACTAAAATGATTCGGGCATTCAAAATTGGAGGCCAAATTCGCAACCCATTATTCGATATTGGGCTGCTTAATTTAAACTCGGTAAAATAACCACTCAAATCAAATTGGAAAATCGAGAAAAAATATTAACCATTGCAATATACGATATAGCTTAAACAAGCAAAAAATAATACGTTGAAAAAGCTTAAACATGGCGAGATAGTGAAGCCCGCAATTAAATATATAATAGATTCAACAATTTTTTTCACCATTTCAATAGAACATGAATTACGCCGAATAAACAAAAACAATTAAATTATACCGAGCCATAGTTGGTTAATTTGAAACCAATATAAAAAATATTGACACAGAAGCGAAACTTCGCTTAGCAAACACTAGCAAGAACATGACAAAAAGCAGCTCTAGAAAAAGCTATACGAAAAAATAGAAATAAGCCTCGAATTAGTAAAAATTACAGCGAACTAACCACGCACGCTTAACCATCGACAAACACTAATCACGAATAAAGCAGCTACATACGCTATTAAATTGCCAACTCAATTGAGCAAAAGTGGAACAAAACAAAAAGAGACTCAAGTAATAATTTGGAATATAGCAAACTGAAGGCATCCACGCTAACTTTGCATGTAAGAAATCTTAAACCATAAATCCACATTATGTATACATAATGGATTTCAAAAAATTGCAATATATCGAGTTTTTATTGTTGTTGTTTGAAACAAATAGCTTTTTGCGGTTCATTTAATGAATTGAAAATGCATCAATTGTGTTAACTTATTAGTATTCGAATGTCACAGGACATGCTATCAAAAGATGAACAGGTGCCCCAAAAATGGCACCAAAGTTTGCTACTTAGGTTACAAAAAAGAAGGTTCTTAATAACAGACAAAGCTGACGCTAGTTTAAATAGAACGGGCATTTGAAATGCGAATGGGCTTTAAATATTTCTGTTGGTTGATAAAAGTGCAGATTTGAAAAAAAAATTCAGTGATTTAAGTTGGACAAGTTGTTTAGAAGAAAAATTCTAGGTTCCGAATTCACAACGATTGCCAATCGCGATCACAAACATCGCATTCGTAATAGTTCTGCATATTAATGAACGGAGAGAAAGAACAAACATTTCTTTTTAAATTAATTATTTAAGATTTTTTTTAAATAATAAAAGTAAAATTACCATAAAAAGTTGTCGAACTCAATTACTTCTACCAATGGGGCTCTTAAAATGACATTCAAGAACTTCAGGAAAAGTCTTGAATCGAATCATTGATCGCACAAACAAAAAAAAACTTTTTCTTTTGCGAAAATTTGTTCTCGACACTCATACAAAAAACCCAAATTGATTGCGTGAGTGCTATTTACCTATCCACCTGCTTGCATTTGATTACGCCTTTTGTTTTTTTTGCCTTTTTTGCTTGAGGGAAGTGGGGGGTTGATCACAATTCATCCCCCACGTTACTTACTTTGGGAGCCTCGCAGAAGTCAAATTTGTGATAGTCGTACGGAATCACAGTTTCGAAAGAGTCCAATCTGTTCACTAGCACATCGATAGTGTTCTCGCATCCTTCGAAGGGCGCATCCTTCTTGCAGAAGCTTCTTGGCGCTATTCCGGGTAGGTAGAACTGACATGAAAGCCCGATGCTTATAAAAGCGACTACCAATTTCAAATTGGTTGCTCCAATCACCAATTTATTCATGGCTGAATCTGTAAAACTAATGAAAAAAAAGCGATATTATATGCGATTTAAGATGGTAAATATATCAAAAAAATATCTTAGAGACACTATCATTCCACTTTTATTTCAACAGTGGAATCCAAGTATGCTTTTCTAGTACTGACATGTTACATTGTTGCAGTTTTTAGTCGCGATGGAGAGATAGAAAAGATATTCAGCTGAGTTACAATTGCAACCAGTGCCAGTCTCATTGCTGAGAAACATGTCACACTGTTTTGATGTTATCACTTGAGAGCTCAATGAAAATAATGGAAGTCATGAATCTATCTGAACTTCAGGGTTGTTTTTTCAGTTTTTCTTTCAGGAAAAGAGTTTAAAACACGTTTGTTGCCGACTTATACTGTATAAAAAAGAAAAGTATAATTCGGAAGTAACCGTTTCTATGTTCAATCTTTAAAAAAAGTTTCCAACGACTAACAATATACTGATTGCTTCTCTGCTGAAACTACAGCTAAAGTCTAAGCATCAAAAGATGGCCAATAGGCGGGAAATTAGCTTGAGAGTTCAGCCCAAATCACATTCCAGAGTAAAAGTTCGGTGAAATCATGGTACAATTTTTTTTTTATTCTATGCAGTATTTTTGTTCCAATCACTAAAAGAGGGGGCTTTGTCTTTGAGAGCTGTAGTTTTTTACTGCTTTTTCATTCCAAGCAAACTCGGGCACCACAAACAATCATCAGAATGAGTTGAGTGATATATCATATTGAAGCCCTTTCAGTCGTGATTGAACGCTTCGAAAATTTTTGTTTCGAAAAAAAAACTGTTTGAAAACTTTACTTTTTATTCGCATTTCGAGCGAGTAACGAGAGCGATTAGATTTTATAATAGGAAAAAAGTTTTAAATTAACTTTGCTTAACTTTAAATTAATACTGTTTTGAATGTCTTAACAACCCTGCGCAATAAGTTCATTCATAGCTATTGAAATTTTAGTTAAGCTTCCGTGAGGTCGTGCAGAAATTACTTCCGTGCCATTATTTTAATCTACTTGATTACACACATACTCCTACTAAAAGACCAAAACAATTCATATACATTTTATTCTTGAGTTTTTACATATGAGTATAGACGACTATCATGACGTCCGTATGACTAAAGTAGATGAAAAAAATGATGAAAAAACTCTCATATAATAATAATTAAGATAGACTGATAAAGTTTTCGCTTCTCACGAAAATACCACGCCATGAAATTTCCTCACACATTATATACAAAAAATTAGTTGTATTGGATAGCAGTAGCACTCAAACAGTACAACATATTTCAACCATTTTATTCGTGTGGACTTGAGTATCAAGCCATTACAAAGTTTTTATTCCTCAGGAACTTGAGAATCTTTACGTAACTTGTAATTTAACACGGTATTGATAAAAAAGAATACCTCTAGATACAACAAAGCAGAACTTATCAAACAAAGAATTTTTCCAAACCTAATTAAGGCAGAAGATATCAAGCTAAGAAAATGTCGAACAGATTTAAAGGCATATTCAAGGCATTTATAGCAGAGCCATGTTATTTTTCGGTTGATTATTGTCAGCAAACATAGTTCAAGTTTTGACACACCTTAAGTAGACTCACAATTGCACAACATAGATACTATATACAGAATTACAAACATTTACAGCTCTGTCTTCACATCGCGCACGCTTTTCTTAAGTGCCTTGCCTCGTTTCTCTGCCGTAAACTCGTGTAGCCAATTCGGTAATGGTTCATAGTCAAAGGGAACTGGCTCCTTCCACAGACCACTTTTCCTAAAGTAAATATGGGGCAGGGATTGCTTTTTCACCTCGTACTGGTGCAGATGGTCATTTTTAGCCACATCAATTTTGGCGAACACAATATCCGGATCTTCTTTAATCCAATCTCCTGCAAATTGGGCGAAAATCTGCAGATACTTAATACACGCATCACACTTTTCGCTATTGTACAGAAACACCATGACATCTTTGGAGTTCTTTTCGACAAGACTTTCAAAAGTATCCCCAACGACGGTCATCACAGCTCCTGATTGTTTCTTGGGAGCCTTTTCAGACTTAATCACAGGTTTCAGAGATCCCTTCAGGTAATTTTTGACGAAGCTTTTCAAAAGTTCTTCACTGAAATCATCGTCATGTTCCAGGGGGTATTTTCTACCGAATTTATCCCAAATGACAGCATTGATACCATTCCCTGACTCAGATAGCCCAGAGTCGACTAAATCTTGAGCACATTTCTCTTCATTTCCAACAGCAAAGGTTATGGTATCTTTATATTCTGAGGCAACTGCGACTATCTTATTTCTCCAAAATTGAGTTTCTTCGTAAAACTCGGGGCCGAAGTTGACGTTATAGTAGACAACTAAAAGTGGTCTCTTCTTGTCATATTTCGAGTTTGGTACATATTCGCCAACAAGAGGAAACCTCTGGGCATCAATGAAATGCTTAAGAGCGTCGACACTTTGAGCATCAGTTAATTGTCTGCGTTTGGGCTCGAATTTGGACTCAAACTTTTTAGGAAAGATAACAGAGATAGAGGGAACCATTTTCACTCCCATAGCTTTTGCTACGGTGCCGTCAAAGCTATGGAAAAATTTAATTTCATCTCGAAAACTATATGTTGCATCCAAGAATAGCTTTACTAGTTCTGAGTCTTCGCCAGAGCCTCTAAACATGCCTAGAACAGTTACTTCAGCTGAATCAATGGCAAGCTTAAGATCCGCAATACTTGTAACTTCCACCGACGATGGCTTAGATTCCTTGATCATTGCTCTAATAATGGCAGCTGAGTCTCTGTTTCTTGGACTGAAATCGTATCTCTGACCATTTCTGAACACGTAGAGAGTTGGGTAACCTTGTATCTGGTACTCTGTTGCTAAGTCGGGCTCTTCGGTGGCATCAACTTTAGCTAGGTAAATCGACTTTTTCTTCAAAACGGTGGCAGCTTTATCAAACTCTGGCTCTAATGCTTTGCAGTGACCACACCAGGGAGCGTAAAATTCAACTAGTGACAGGTTGTGCTCATTCACGAAGTCATTGAAAGTCTCAGTCGTAAGAACTGTTACGTCAGAGGGTGGAGGTTTGTAGTTTGGATCGGTGAGCTTTTGAACTTCTGCTAAAATTCCGTCGGCGTTACGCTCTTTAGGCTCAAACTCTGTGTACTTCGCTCTCGAACCTTTACTGAATAGCTTCAATGTCGGAAACCCTTGGACACCGAATTCTGAAGCCAATGATTCCTCCACTGTTGCGTCAACTTTCGCAAAAACAACGGCTAGACCTTCATTTCTCACCTTTTCAGCCGCTTTTTCATACTCGGGCTCCAGTTGCTTACAATGTCCACACCATGGAGCGTAAAACTCAACCAAAACGTGTTCATGTTCAGAAATCACAGTGTCAAAACTTGAAGCTGTCAAAGAAATAACATTTGGGTCTGAACTTGGATCAGTGACACATTCAGACAGTGAAATTAGGAGTAAAGGGAAACAGGTGAGAAAACAGCTAAGGATGAACATGGAAGTCATGCTCCAGGTCTAAAAAAAGCAGGGTGAATAAATCAATCTGAAGAACTGAAAAAAAAAACAAATTGATGTAGTGAAATTCACAAAATCGGGGCTAGTAAATTTACCGCTGACATTAAAAAAAACAAAAAGAAAAAAGGAGAAAAATGTAAATTACGAACGTTTTCTGTTTGTTACAACTATTCAAAATGAGCAAAAACTCGTTTTCTGTTTGTTACGACCATTGAAAATGAGCAAAAACTATGTAATCGGGTGTTTTAGGTATTTTTAGATTTTAGCCTAGTTGTTGAGATAAACTTATTAATTCGAGAAGTGTGCCAGTCGGTCATATTTGAAAGTTTGGCCTTGATTTGGGAGTTTAAACTTGATTTTGGGAACAATATTTTCAAAAAATTCGAATCGACCATGTCATGCTCAAGTTTCTCGCGATAACTGAAAATCAGAAGTTAATTTGATCAGAAGAAAAATATCAGAAGAGCGAGAAAATCGATAAATATCAGTCAAGAGTTAAATTGCTGTTCGCAATTTTACTGCAATCAACAACTTGTGTAGAACTGTCATGTTCTTGATTGAGCGAAACTTGAAGTCTTAGGAGAGTATCGTCGTTGGGAGAGAGAAAACCTTGACTGGAAAGGTGGACAGCTGAAGCTGCCCAATGGTTCAGAAGATTAAACTTATTAATAACTGTAACTTATTAAAATTATTAAAATTATAGTACATGTTTAAACATGACTAAAAATTGCAATTTTTGAAAAAATAAACTGACATGTCAGTTTGGATAAAACATCAAATCGAAAAATTATGACTCAAGTAACAAAAAAGTATGGAAATTGTCATAATCGATGAAATAATGATTACGTAATAACAGATGTAAGAATGTGATTGGTGAAAAATTTCTAACATGTTCTTTTTGAATTTCATACATGATCTTTGATCATTTTATTGTAAATAAAAAATTTTATATCCTGACGATGCACAAAATGTGCGAAAACGTTTGAATTAACAATTTTAAACAATTCTTATTCTACTTTTTGTTAAATTTTGAAAAAAAAATAATAACCTCGGCGAAGAGTGAATGATAGATTAAAAAGTTTGTTGTAAAAATACAAACAAAAAATTTTTAGATCATTTTTATTTTTCTCAGAATAGTCTTAATTTTTATTTTTTCTTTTCTCATCTTAACAATGAGTTTTCTTACATTTGAGTTAAAATGGCATGGGTGGTAGCTGCAAGCTCTCTATTTCATAGCTTGAATACCTTACGACCAGCAGAGAAAGCGGAACTGGACGAACTGGTATACGCGGAATCGGGATTATCGCTGAATCCTCATACCGTGAGGAAGAGACAAAATTTACAGACTCTTCTGGAAGAGCATCCTCTGGTGGACAAGGAGATAATTCTTTGGCACGACGTATTGAATAACAGTTTGTCGAAACACCGAACCAATGCCAACACGCTTTATCCTCTGGACGATTTAATTTCAGAAACCATCACAAGGACGACGCAAGGCGAAGGCACGCAGAGAGGAAACAACGACTGACGTCTCTCTACCATCGGCTGAAAGGGCGCGGATTGGGTAAGTGCATCTACTGTGTGAATTATCCTGCTGAGAGCCGCATGAGTTTAAGTGCTCGTGGCCTGCAGGATAATGACCGCCGTAGTTTTGCCCCCACCGATGCTGAGATGGATACTCAGGAAAAAACAAACTTGGAAATTAGTTTTGAATTACCTGAAGTATTCAAATAAATTAAACAACAATTTCCATCGATTGAAGTTTTTACGGAAATGTCAAAGCAATGACATAATACCAGATTTTTTGAGATTTCGGGTGCCAGAAAATGGGTTTTTTTCGGACCAAGCGGTGCATAGCTTTCAATTAAAACTCCTACGAACAGAGATAAATCAGGCAAGGTCAGAAGAGAAGAAGATAGACGATGATATAGCTAAGGCAAGAGAGGTAGTGCGGAGAGGGATAGATGAACAATGGTGGCCCTCAATAGCATTTTATCTAAAGCTCCAGGCTAGAATTGCTATCCATGACATCAAGGATAGACATGAAAAGAAGTTAAAAAAGCTAGCAGAGCGGCAGGACAGACCGTTAATGAAAGTGAATGACAAATCGGTCAGAGCACTAGATGGCATTGAGCTACCCAAGTGGGTTCATGAAGTGTTAGGTTTTGGCCCAAAGCACCCGGTGAGGGATCGTTTCAATGAACTTCACTTTCTTGCGGACATTGATAATTTTTTATCTGAGCTTAAATCGCAAAAGGTACCAGGTGAAAAATTATGTGAAATTGAAGCTGCTGCGAAATCATACGCTAAACGTGTGCGGCAAACACCGTCGGATAGAGGGATTGAGAAAGCCAGGAAGTATTTGAAGGACAATGGTCTCTTGGCAGTCCCATTCGATAAAGGTGTTGGCTTCTGTGTAATGAAAAAAACGACATATGAGGCTAAACTAACTGAGCTGCTGCAATCGGAACAATTTAGCGAAAAACCAGGTTTAACTGATAGTGTTGTTATGAAAATTGAGAAAGACATCAACAAAGAACTGTTGGCCATGAAAAAGAAAGATGAGATCGATGAGGCACTGTATAGTAGGCTTAGGTCCACGGGAGGGCAGCCAGCTCGATTATATGGATTGGCTAAAGTACATAAGAAAGGAACCCCTCTCCGTCCCGTACTGTCACTGCCAGGGAGCTCATATGAACATCTAAATAAAACTTTGGCCAAATTTTTTGACAACATTGAGGGGGCAAACATTGAGACAAACACACAAATGGCTCGGGAGATCATAGAGAACATAGATCTAGACTATAATGAGAGTATTATCTCCCTGGATGTCAAAAGTTTGTACACTAATGTCCCACTAAAGGAGGCAATAGATATAGCACTGAGGAAACTGTACGAAAAAACTAGTCCTCCTAAACTGGCACGCGGAACTATGAAGAAATTGTTGAACATGGCTGTAAGTAAGGTGCACTTCAAATGCAATGGTTTATGGTACGTACAAAAGGATGGGTTGGCAATGGGTGCATCCCTTGCTGTCATTCTTGCCAATTTATGGCTAAAGGAGTACGAATATGCATTAATGAAGGAAGTACCTGCGTTGACACAGCTAAATGAAAACCGGAATGGCCTATGCCCTGATTGCGAGCGGAGGGTAACATACAGAAGTAAGGGGATCGAATGCGAAGCTTGTTTAAATTGGTACCATTTAAAGTGTAGTAATTTATCCGACAAAGAATATGAGCAAATCTCAGAAATGGTTTGGTATTGTAAGAGATGTAAAGAGCAGCGAGATCAAGAAAAACCAACAGAAAATGTCAAAGCGTTCCTAAGATATGTAGATGATATAGTGAGGACGGTAAAGGGGGATCCAGATATAGTGTTAAAAGCAGCTAATGAGCTCCACCCCAACTTAAAATTCACTATCGAAAATCCGGATTCGAACGGAGACTTAGCCTTTCTAGATTTGAACATTAATGTGGACTCACGAAAAAAGGTAACATGTGGATGGTATCAAAAACCAACGGATACTGGGACTATCCTTAACTTCAGAAGCTGCGCTCCATTGCAATATAAACGCAATGTAGTTGAGGGTACTGTTCATCGGATTTTTAGAAGCACATCAACATGGGAAAACTTTGACAAGGCAATGAAGATTAATAAAGAACAATGGGTGGATAATCAATACCCTGAAAAATGGTCAGATGGTGTCGTATTAAGAACGTTGAATAAGATCATCGACCGAAAAACTGACACACGAACAACTGTAACATCAGTCAAGGAAGATCCTTTAAAGGTCAGTGCACCCATTATAACATTACAATACCGGGGTAATGCATCGGAGTGGTTTGCTGCCAAACTGCGTCAAAACGCCGGAGCCCAAGTGATATTTACTACGAGAAAGCTCAAGACTTGCCTACCGTCCCTTAAATCTCCCTTTGCGAAAGATTTGAAATCCAGAGTGGTCTACAAGCTCACATGTAGTGGATGTAATTCCACCTATGTTGGACAAACGGTCCGGCATTTGACCACGCGGATTGATGAGCATCACAAGGAAGATTCGCCAGTAGGGCAACATTTGAGAGAATGTGACAGGGATGGTAAGAGCGCTGAGCTTAAGTCTGAGATTATAGATCAATCAAGTAACATACAGAAACTCCTCACTCTGGAGGCCTTACATATTTGGAAAGAACGCCCCAGAATTAACACGCGCGAGGAGTTCAGGAGCAGGGAGCTGACATTAAAATTATAGTACATGTTTAAACATGACTAAAAATTGCAATTTTTGAAAAAATAAACTGACATGTCAGTTTGGATAAAACATCAAATCGAAAAATTATGACTCAAGTAACAAAAAAGTATGGAAATTGTCATAATCGATGAAATAATGATTACGTAATAACAGATGTAAGAATGTGATTGGTGAAAAATTTCTAACATGTTCTTTTTGAATTTCATACATGATCTTTGATCATTTTATTGTAAATAAAAAATGTTATATCCTGACAATGCACAAAATGTGCGAAAACGTTTGAATTAACAATTTTAAACAATTCTTAATAACTGTACCATTCGCCCAAATACTACAGTGACGGAGTGTAGAAAAAGTACCTATTAACGACTGGCCGGCGTCAGTTACCTAAATTCTACTCGTTTTTCACCGTCTCGACCTAGCCAGTTGATTTTCTGGTCTGTTTCGGGCTAAGCAAAAAGTTACTATGTTCAAGCCATCAGTCAAACGACTTTTAATCAGCTTCAGTTATCAAGCGAATACAACCACATAGCTGGGTCTCGGACTCCCAGACTACATGATTGCTACTCATATCCTAAAATAACAAAAAATACCGGTGTTTATTGAAATGTTCAGGACATCAGAGTAGCTAAAAAGTCAGTTTATTACAGTCCTCCACCATATGATGTCTCTGGGGGGCCGAGCCTCCGCTTCCGTGTTTTCCCTGTAATAACGTCGTTATTACTCCCAATTCGTGGCACGGGAGGGTACTGCTCTTTTCTTCTTCCCCCACTGAAGCCTCCTTTCCACCTAACGTCTCCAATTAGCTGTCTTATCGTGCGTGATCGTCACGATAAGAGGCTTTGTTTTTTCTATCGTTCCCGTACGACTGTTTTTCACTATTTCAGCTGTTGTTCTGTTTTTCGTCAATTTTTGGCTCAAAATGGCCGTTTTTTACGTTTCTGAGAAATGTGACGTCACAAATCGAATTTTTGAAAATCAAAATTCCAGAATATTCTGACCCTCCTTCGCAAAAGTTTTTTTTATCGCTAATGCCTCTTTTTCTATTCTCGTGTCGTGCCGGAAGGTTACGCGGTGCCAATCTGGCAGAATGGCACAAACAGACTACTTATTGCAGAAACGTTCTAGTATTGCTTTACTTTAATCATTCACTTAATTCGCGTCACTATGTTAGTACCTAATTTTAATTTCTTGAGTGCATTTTGTGATTATGTTGAGATAAGGCGAGTTTCAGGTTGATCCATTTGAAATGGATCAACGGTTCACTGTCTAATAAAACTAGTGATATACCAAAGCTTCAGACCCTGTTTTTAATGGCGTTCACGTGTTTCAGGTATTTAGAGACCTATCCATGGTAGAGGGCTTTAAGCGGTTTGCAGTCTCATGTTTTACGCGAACCGAACTGGCTCCTACCGAATGAGGTGACAAAGTACAAGAGCTAGTGTTCCTGACCCTTGAGCCAATTTTTAACCTTCAAATGTGACATCAGTAGGTGACTGTTACTAAGTGGCCATGACTACTCAAAATGATAACACAAAAGTGATGATTCCATCACTGAAGTATCACGGAGAAACACCCATTGCAAAACAGGATCTCAAACGGAAATGCTTAGAGTTGAGTCCATTTGAAGAGAATCAGGAAGAGCAGCACATAATGACCAAAATTGAATCAACGATCAAGGAGAGCGTAGATTCAGCTTTTCAAAATGCCATGCCGAAAACTAACAGCAGTTTAGATACAGTGATGCAAGAAACAATCCGAGCTATTGTTGAAGAAATCGCCACTAAATCGAAGAACGAAATTCTCACACAAACTAAAGACGACCTTGGAAAAGTAGAGCCGAAATATACTAAAATTATATTTGGAATTAGAACTCTTGGAAAACAACAATCGCCGAGACAACATTCGTATCGTAGGTTTGCCGGAACAAATTGTGACATACAATACTGGGAAACGTGTATATGAAAATTATGACACAACGATTAAATAGTTTCATATAACGTAATGCCTGAGACGAGGAATAGATTGGCATCCAAACAGAGTGATTGCTGTACTGTTTGTACCAAACCAAATGGAGAAAACTGGATTCTGTGTGAGAGCTGCCAAAGATGGACTCACGGTGGGTGTGCTGGATACTCGAACGACGAGTACAAATTCTTGGCGAGGGCCAAAAATGTGATGTTTTTCTGTGACACATGCCTTCCATCAGCACAATGCAACTTACTGAAAAACAACATCTCCGCAGAGGTCACCAAGGAAATTGCAGACTTGAAGGCCACAGTGGAGAGTGTTAAGTCTGCTGTGACGGCACTGACACCAACTGCCATAGAACCCGAAGCTAAGTATTCTTCAATTGTGAAAAATAATGCTGAATATTCACTAGAGTTAAGGTTCAGCGGTTTGCCTGAAATAAGCGATGCCCCTAAAAAACCAAACCGAAAAGATGTTTTTGAACACGATGAAAAACAGTTATTTGATGTTGTACATTATCTGGGTGTGGGAAAAGAAGATATATCCGGTTTCCGTAGGCTTGGCAAATACAATTCACAAAACCCTCGAGCAAGGCAAATTCTTGTTAAGTTCTCAAATACTTATACGATTGATAAAATATTAGCACGTGCACCAATGCTTAGAGTTTTCGAACCAACATACAACGATGAGGCCTATCGAGTTTTTGTTTCAAAATCTTTAAACAAAGAAGAGCAAATGGAAGAGCGAACACTTCTGAAAAAAAAGAAGAGAGTTATTAGATACAAACCAACATGATCCAAAGAACATTCATATCAAAAATGGAATTTTGTATTTAAATAACCAAGCAGTAGTAATTGATGAGTGACTAGAAAATTCAACTGGTGAACTAAGCATGTTGTGTTATAACATTAGAAGTTTATATAAATCGGATCGAAGAAGAATTTTTTCGCATTTTCTGCTAGTAAATGCTGTTGATATTGTATGTATATCAGAAACATGGCTCACAGACGATATTGCAGAAGGCGAACTTTTTATACCTCAATATCAATGTTTTTTATCGAATAGAAAAGCAAAATCCGGAACAACAGCACACGGTGGGACTATGATTTGCGTGAAAAATGAAATCAACTCTGAGCAAGTTAAATTGAATCTTGAAGATAATGGTTCAGTAACTGCATGCCTGATTTGTTTATGTAAAAAGAAAATACTTATTGTTTGCTGTTATTTACCACCCTCAAACAGTACTTACGCTTACACGAACGCTGATATTGAAAACTTGTTTCTATGTTTGCAAAAATCAAAAATAATTTTGATGAAGTAATAATATACGGGGATTTCAATTTCCCAACAATAAACTGGACGAGTCTTTCATCTGCTGTTGAGCAAGAAAATATTTTTCTTGATATAATTGATCGATATTGTTGGCAACAAAAAATCTCGTTCCAAACTGCTGCAACTGGTATTCTAGATTTGATTTTAGTGGGAAAAAACATACAGATAGTGAATATTGAAGACATTCAAATGGATAACTATTTTAGCAAACTCTCGAATCATTTCCCGATCAAAGTTAAGTTTAACGTTGAAATATCGTCCTTGTTGCAGCGAAATTGCTGCAAAGATTTGATTTATAGCTACTGTAAAGGCAATTTTGGAAAACTACGAGAAACGTTGAATCAAACGAAATTCGAACCTTTCTGTTGGTCGAATCCTAATAAATTTCTGGAATTATGGTATAGCTGGCTCAATACCGCAATATCTCAGAATGTACCAAGGAGAACAGCGCACAGAATGTTGCTACCACCGTGAATTACGCAAAAAACATCGCATTACATAAAGTGCTTTAAAACTGCGCGGAAGAATTTTCCAGAATTTCATGACAAGGTCATAGCATTAGCTGATTTAGTCGATACCAGTGCAGAAACTGACAAAGTTGAATACGAACAAGAGCTGGCTGCAGAGCGAGCATCGTCAAAATTGTTCAAGTATTTCAAAGCATTTAGGAAGTCAAATCTCCCGCGGAAAATGTTTTGCGAGTCTGTCTCGGAGGAGACGGACAAGGGTAAATCAGAACTATTTTCTATCTTCTTCTCTTCCGTGTATACAAAATCGACAAAATTTTTTGAAGGGTGTAATGGAAAAGAAGGCGTAAAATTGATTACCACTGTAAATTTTTTCGAAAAGGAAGTAATTGAAAATTGCATGAACTTGGACATAAACAAGAGTAAAGGACCCGATGAAATTCCACCAATATTGTATAAAAAATTGTGCATTACTCTTTCTAATTCTCTTTCACAGTTATTCAGAAAACTTTTCCAAACAGCCATTTTTCCAAACGACTGGAAACAAGCAACTATAAGTCCATTATTTAAAAAAGGCGATAAATGCCATGTTACAAATTACAGACCGGTATCTCTGTTATCAATAGCTTCGAAAATTCTAGAAAGGATTATTTTTAGACGACTATACGATCATTACCATTCTTTTTTTCACGCAGCTCAGTTCGGCTTCAGGAAAAGACGATCAACGATTCTCCAATTGATAATCTTTTTGCAAAAAGTGTACCAGGGCATTGAAAGTCAACATGATGTTGATATAATCTTTACTGACTACAGTAAAGCTTTTGACAGAGTGGATCATGGTATGCTTTTGAAAAAACTTTTTGAAACGGGCATCAGAAACAGGCTACTGAAACTAATCGAATCATACTTGACAAATCGAGTACAAGTCGTGCGTATAAATGGAGTAAACTCGTCACCAATACAAGTTAATAGCGGTGTCCCGCAAGGGAGTATTTTGGGCCCCATACTTTTTCTGGTTTTTGTTAACGACCTCCCGAAAATGTGCGATCAATTGTTTCCCCTACTTTTTGCCGATGACGCCAAATTTCTCAGCGTGGGTTTAAGCACAATAGATATTCAAAGTGATTTAAATGCGTTGTATGACTGGACCGTTAGAAACAACATGCCCTTCAATATGGATAAATGCTGCCTAATTAAAATGTCCAAAAACGAAAAACGATTGCTTTTTGGAAACGAATCGATTAAAACAGAGGAAACTCAATCTGATTTGGGGCTCATGCTTTCCTGTGACTTAAAATGGAATTTGCATATAAATAAAGTTTGCTGCAAAGCAATTCGTGTTTTTCACATGATAAAAAGAAGCGTATCGAATCTTGGACGAAAAGCTTAACTGGATTTGTATAAATCTATGATCGTACCAATACTCGCGTACGCAAGTCCATGTTATGGGTTGAGTAAATACATTATTACGGAGCTTGAAAATGTGCAATGGCGTATAGTTAAATGGATAATTCCGCATATGGATTCGTACAAAGATCGGTTAATCGAAATTTCACTATTGCCACTGCCAATGTATATACAGATCAACAACCTTCTGTTGCTGTCAAAAATTTTATCGAAAAATTACGATGTTGACATGTTGAATGTTCCATCGTATTCCTGTTCCTCGCGCGGTTGTATGTTTCAGCTCGAGAGGCCGAAAAAGAAATTTTTGGAGGACGAATTATTTTACCAAACATGTCGGCTAGCGAATGTGATCAAAATTGACGTGAGAGAAACAAGCAGACTGAAGAAGCGAATATTGTGGTTATTTTGGAGAAAATTTGAGAAGGACTACGAACAAATGAACAAGTGCACAATTGCGGACGGAGAATTGCTTGCGATTGCACAATGAATGACTGTAGAAGTAAAACTTCACTAAAGAACGAAAAATTGACAGGGGGAAACCCCTTGTGCTACGAGCACAAAAGCCCTACTACTACTACTACTAAAAAGCGACCGGTTTATTTAAGAATATAGGCGCCAACCTGAACAACTCCGGCCGGCAATCCAAAATCAAATCCGCCCCCCTTATTGTAAGGCTTACAAGAAGAGTGAATAAAATCGAAACTCTCGAGAGAAAGAAACAGCTGCGCACTGATGAGAGAGATCCAGTACAGTTCAAATTTTTGAAGATATAATCATTGCCCGGTTACACTTCATTCGAATGATGAAGCAAGATCAACGTATCTAAGAGGCGTCGACAAGAAAGGGAACTACTTTTTATCAGTGGAAAGAAGATGGTTCTGTTTACAAAATTACTGGTCTCTTCGACGAAGGAGTTGCGCTAAACTATTCAATGGATGATGTGAAATGCTGCTTTAGTGTCAGGCACGGTGCTTTTGAAAAAACAGTGGTGCCTCAAGGGACCTAAAATTAACGAAGCGCCTATAAAATAGAGTGAAATTGATAATGCCGGTTTTTTTGATGTACTTTAGTGTAATGTTCGATCACATAAAATATTTTATGATGAACTAGAAGCACTGGTTAATTGCGTTGAGCCTCCTAACGTGTCATATTGATGATGAAAACCTGTTCACGGTAAAAACTATGTCTCTTATGTAAACAACAGGATCGGAAGAGGTGGCGGTAGCATGATTCAACTTCACCC